GAAGAACAGTTTAGAACTGATAGAGCTATCCAGTATAAATAAAATTAATTTAGTTTAAGTTTCCTCCTGTAGTAACACTGGATCAATAAGAGATGATCCTTACTGGACCTCTAGGAAGAACAGTTTAGAACTGATAGAGCTATCCAGTATGAAAAGTTAGTTTAGTTTAGGTTTGCTACTGTAATAATACTGGATCAATAAGAGATGATCCTTACTGGACCTTTACGAAGAACAGTTTAGAACTGATAGAGCTATCCAGTATAAATAAAATTAATTTAGTTTAAGTTTCCTCCTGTAGTAACACTGGATCAATAAGAGATGATCCTTACTGGACCTCTAGGAAGAACAGTTTAGAACTGATAGAGCTATCCAGTATAACTAAAGTTAGTTTAGTTTAGGTTAGGTTTCCTCCTGTAGTAACACTGGATCAATAAGAGATGATCCTTACTGGACCTCTATGAAGAACAGTTTAGAACTGATAGAATTATCCAGTATAAATAATTTTAGTATAGTTTATGTTTCCTCCTGTAGTAACTCTGGACCAGATAGTTTTAACTTTCTTTATTTAATGTTTGTGATGTTACTCTGAGTGTATATCCACACCGGGCAAGCTTGAAAAATATGCCCGGCCACGGTGGGAATCGAACCTACGACCTTTGGAATACTAGCCCAATGCTCTGCCAACTGAGCCACGCGGCCAGGACGGTTCGACAATGCGATATTTCGGAACAGAATCTAGTTCCTTCGATATCAATGTAATCTAGTAATATGATTTTTTTTTATTTAGTTATCATTTCTCAAAGCGCGCGAAGTCTGGGGACAAAGGTGGGCTCAAAGAGCTCCCTGGTATAGGTCACATGTGTTGTGGTAGATATTCTGTGGACAATGTGTGGTATCGAGCATTGGTGACAGCGGTTTCACGTGAGAATAGTCACGTGACTGTGCTGTATGTTGATGAAGGGAACAGCGAGGCATTGCCGTTGTCAAGGTTACGAGAATTGGATGAGAAATTCGCGAGCTTGCCTTGTCAGGCGCTGCGTGTTCAACTGAGAGGTCTGGAGCTGACTGGAGATGTCAAGATGGACGAAGGTAGGGTTGTGTTGATTTAAAACACCACATTGTGTTGATTTAAAACACACAAGCTCACTCACACTCAATGGTGGAAGTTCAATCTGAGCTTCTCTTGAGTGTTAATGCTGTTTTTGAATAGCTGGAGGGCTAGTGTCCTACCTTACTATGTGACTACTCGCCCTCCAGCTATTCAAAAACAACTTTGACATTCAAGAAAAGCTCAGATTGGACCTCCACTCATTGAGTGTGAGTGAGCTTTTAGAATACGGGCGTAAATCTTCTGAATGTAATTCACGCCTGTATTCTAAAAGCTCACTCACACTCAATGAGTGGAGGTTCAATCTGAGCTTCCTTTGATTGTCATTGCTGTTTTTGAATAGCTGGAGGGTTAGCGTCATACCTTACTATGTGACTACTCACCCTCCAGCTATTCAAAAACAGCATTGACACTCAAGAGAAACTCAGATTGAACCTCCACTCATTGAGTATGAGTGTGAGTGAGCTTTTAGAAATACAGGCGTTAGTCTTTGACTGCAAAACTGGTCTTTTTAATAAATTACAAATCAGACGTATTACGCTTACATGATTACATACTGGGCCTAGACTATTTTATCTGTACAACAATTGTGATATTACTTTCTTAACTGTGTTTATCCTAACCCACCCTGTCAACTTTCGCTGTGGGAGGAAACCAGGCACCCGGAGAAAACCCACGACTTTCGGCAGAGCATTGACTCACCCGTGTATGATATATTAAGTGTAAAAACGTTTTTTGCAGTTAACGATTGGCTTAGACGTCGCGTGTCAGGGGAAACTCTCGAAGCTGTGCTGTACGAGAACGAGGCTGCTATAAATCCTGTCTCTTTGGACCTCTACATTCGTCCCCATGCTCGCTCGGTCAGTGATGTTGATTATCACAAACTCGAATATAACATTCATGAAATGCTTATACGTGAGGGATTCGCTATCCGCGCCGCATCGCCTCAGAGTACTGACACTAGTGATGACGTCAGTCCTCCTTCGTCGCCTAGCGACCAAGTGGTGAAATCTGAAAGCATTCTCAGTTCTTCAGTGACCAGCGGATTCCATGATGCACCATCACCTGTATTTGATGTAAACACCCATGACGTAACCTCGCCTGGTTGTCATGGTGATGGCGTGGTATGTCGTGTACCGCCGCCTCATATTCCAGTTGACTCTGATGGATCAGTGTATATGCTGGCCTCACATATCGTCAGTCCGGGAGAGTTTTATGTGCATTTTATTTCGAGCGAAGCTGGCATGCTGGATTGTCTGATGACAGATATGAATCAGACTTATAAAGGTTTGTATTGTCCTCAGTCACGTATGTACGTAAAAACGCACAAGTTGTAACAAGTCTGCAAACAAGTTCTTACAAGTCTGTTCCCAAGCTGTCGACAAGTTGTGTTCGCACTGCTTGTTCCCAGTTTGTTGTAACAAGTTTGAAACACGCTGTTAACAACTTGTAACAAGCTTGATGGCATTATCAGACTTGTTACAAGACTGTGCTAACAAGTTTGTTACAGCCATGATATAACAAGGATGTTACAAGGTTGTCAACACAAGGTTGTAACAATCTTGTTATATCAAGCATGTAACGAACTTGTCAGAACAACCTTGCAACAAGTCTGATAATTTCGACAAGGTTGTTACAAGTTGTCTTCGCACTGCTTGTTCCCAGTTGTTGTAACAAGTTTGAAACAAGCTGTTACCAACTTGTAACAAGCTTGATGACATTATCAGACTTGCTACAAGGTTGTTGTAACAAGTCTGATACAGTCATGATATAACAAGAATGTTACAAGGTTGACTACACAAGGTTGTAACAATATTGTTATATCATGACTGTAACGGACTTGTTGGAACAACCTTGCTACAAGTCTGATAATATCAACAAGCTTCTTACAAGCTGTTAACAACTTGAATACAATATTGTTATATCATGACTGTATCAGACTTGTTGGAACAACCTTGCTACAAGTCTGATAATATCAACAAGCTTGTTACAAGCTGTTAACAACTTGTATACAATATTGTTATATCATGACTGTATTAGACTTGTTGGAACAACCTTGCTACAAGTCTGATAATATCAACAAGCTTGTTACAAGCTGTTTAAACAACTTGTACAATATTGTTATATCATGACTGTATCAGACTTGTTGGAACAACCTTGCTACAAGTCTGATAATATCAACAAGCTTGTTGCAAGCTGTTTAATCAACTTGTACAATATTGTTATATCATAACTG